CTGCCTGTCGGCTGAGATAGCTCCGCTGTTAGCAATGCACATGGCAATTAAAGAACAGAAGATATCATTAGAAAATGAACAAATCTGAGGGAGGTCCACATGTAGTACCTATATGTACAATATATCAAAGCAATTGGACTTGCGGTTTTCAACAAGAAGTCGAAAATATCACTTTTTACCAAAAATTACAAAAATATTCATCAAAATTAGAGAATTAAAGATATCATTGTGAAATGAACAAATCTGAGAGAAGTCCACATGTAGTACCTATATATGTAATATCAAAGCAATTGGACTTGCGGTTTTCAACAAGAAGTCGAAAATATCACTTTTTACCAAAAATTACAAAAATATTCATCAACATTAGAGAATTAAAGATATCATTGTGAAATGAACAAATCTGAGAGAGGTCCACATGTAGTACCTATATATGTAATATCAAAGCAATTGGACTTGCGGTTTTCAACAAGAAGTCGAAAATATCACTTTTTACCAAAAATATTCATGAAAATTAGAGAATTAAAGATATCATTACAAAATGAACAAATCTGAGAGAGGTCTACATGTAGTACTTATAATATGTAATATCAAAGCAATTGGACTTGCGGTTTTTAACAAGAAGTCGAAAATATCACTTTTTACCAAAAATGACAAAAATATTCACCAAAATTAGAGAATTAAAGATATCATAACAAAATGAACAAATCTGAGAGAGGTCCACATGTAGTACCTATATATGTAATATCAAAGCAATTGGACTTGCGGTTTTTAACAAGAAGTTGAAAATATCACTTTTTACCAAAAATGCCAAAAATTTTCACCAAAATTAGAGAATTGAAGATATCATCATGAAATGAACAAATCTGAGAAAGGTCTACCCAAGGTACATATACACCAAGTATCAAAGCATTCAGGCTTGTAGTTTTCAAGAAGAAGTCAAAAAAGTAAAACATTGACACGGACGACGACGGACAATCACTCATATGATAAGCTCCACTCGACAGTCGACAGCGGAGCTAAAAATTGAAGTTCATATGTATGGCATTATGTATTCATATGAACAGGAAATAGAAAGCTGTACACCCAACCATGTACAAAAGTGTTGTGAGAATTCCTAAGTATGGTGAAACATTGGAAACTCCTCCGCCCTTACACTGATTTTTGCAACACGCTCAGTCATTCGATAAATTCAAACACAAATCAAAGTAATAATAAAGTTTAATCATTATACAATCTTCTACATCTTATAAGTGTCAATTTGATTTCAGATGTCCCGGATAACCAATCAAACTACAACTCCTGTCCAGTCATCATCTAGCTCTGTGACCAAAAGAAGAAAAATCTGACTTTACACAGGATTTAACATTTACAGTATTTATATAAACATATTGAAATTTGTATTTTAATATCAAAGTATATGGATGTATTTACCTTCATTTCACTTATTAAACCCGACGCATTTTACAGAAATAAGGTTTTCTCTGCATGTAATATTGTAACATACTGTACAGCACATTTAAAACATAGTTAAACCAAAGACACTAGAGAAGATCTTCTCTAGTGTCTTTGGTTAAACTAATGACAAGTGGGGAGTGGGTAACTTGCTCAGGAAATGTACCGGTATATTAGAAAAGATTTGTTACCTTGTGAGCCAGATACTCAAACTTGTTACCACGGTTGCTTAGTAACTGTGTTACATAGGTGCTCTGCAAAGCCCTGGTTAGTCCTTGTTTAAATCTGAGCCAATTTTAGTATGCAAATGTTCATGAAATTTATTTGTGTATGGTACTTTCCATTAACTTCTCCAGAATAAATCTGTAGTTATTGCAATACAGCAAATGTACTATCATAATGGTTCTTGAGATATCGGACAAACATGCAAAGTTTGACTACTACTCAATTAGTTCACGCAATTGTATTGACAGGTGGAAGCATTATTACACGCCCAATATAAAAGCAGTTGAAAACAAAATCTTTTCGTCAAAGGTCAACATAGTGTAATTTATAAATGTGGGGGATTCAACGCAATGGTTTTCTATAATACCAGTGGCCACACAATATTGTTCCAGCAGACACAAAAATTAACTGAAAGCATCATCTTTCCCTTGGAACATTCTTAGCCATGTTTACGCACATTTCTAAAGCGTGATGCAGATGGTGCTCTGATATTTTCATGTACCGTAGTCTATGTTTGCATTATACCAGTATGGGAGTCGAGACATCACATAGTTACAAGTGTGCATTGAAAATCATAAGCCAAGAAATAGATTATGAAAATTGTTAATTTGTTGGCTATTATTTTATTTGATCACCCCAGGCAAACTAGTGGAATAATCTGTATGCAGACATGTGTGGTTTAACCCCAGTACATCTATGTACAGTATGGGTTTAATTTAAATTTGATTAGTAATTCTTAATATACATCAATGGAACAAATATATAGCCTTCACTTCACACTTGGAAGTAAAAAAATACATAATACAAGTCGGATTTCACTAGCAAAGTTTATTTCTTGTATTTGCATCTGCACGAGCATGTTACATTCAGTACAACAACATCACTATACAAATCAACATGATGTGAACCACTCTCATCATTAGTGTATCCCGTTTGGCACATTGCTAGCTCAAGATAAAACCAGTGATGAGATGGTGAATCACAATCACTTTAGGTCCAGAAACCCAGCCCCCCCCCACCTCCTAACAAAAAAACTTAAACATATTCACATTTAACTTTTTTTGTCCAGCACACACAGTAGAGTTGTTTTATGTGGTATGGTTATGTAGAGCTTTTGCAATACAAAGGTGACACTGAATATACAACACCGAGAAAACTAGTGATGAGAAGTGCATGATTTGTTTCATTTCATTCTATAAATAGGATTTTTCCAGGGCATATTAATACATACAACAAACTGACAATGACAGAATTACAAATAAAGCAATGCTTTTAAGGTTAACGCCATTATCCTCTGTTCCAACTGTAGAAATGCCTAACGGTGAACATCTATAAGTCCAAGAACTGAACGGAGTGCATATTTCAACGTAATAACATCCCCTGTCCTATCCCTCCTAATCCATTATACTTTGTTCCTGTATTTATTTTAAAATTACATTATGGGCATCAGTATTCCGACTCAATTTTGACAGAACACACAATTAATTTCATTGGTTACTGGCTATGCTTTACTTCCCTTGCCATGCCAGCTGATTTCTTAGATCATGAATGATTCAATTAACGGTAGTAATAGTTCCAACAATGGCCGACGTGTTAACAATATTTTTTACTTCCCTTGGCAGAGAGATGATGTTGTTTAAGTTAGGTGTGAACATTGCATGTGCTACCAATCTAAAATCAATACACAATTTGTTCTGAGTATCACAAGTTAACAGTTTTTGAGACGTGCTGTAAATGCATTAATTATTCACTGCGATTTAATATCACTACTTTTGATGATAAAGTTAAATTCGTTAAAATAAGTCTTTATAAACATGTAAAATTACAATAGCACTTATTGTTTCACTAGGAAATCTGTGAAATCATATCCAAGTGAATATGAACAAATATCAAAACAGTGAAATTAAATACCAGTTGAAATAAATGCTATTACAGTACCACTTACTGGCGAGAAAATACAGAACTTGTGTTTGTATTGACAACAATTCATTGATAGATTACATGATACTTGACAGTATAAAAAGAAAATAATAAAAATAGAGAATTCTGAAAAAGAGTTCAGACAAGTATGCTTTCACATCTTCCCTTCCTATTTCACTGGAGCACTAAACCGACCTGCAAGACAAAAATTACCAAAAAAAATGGTTGCTATTCAGTAAAATTCAAACATATCACGAGACAAAATTCGGTGTATTTACAGAGACCTGAGCATTGGTCACTGATGCTAGAGGAACTGATATGGACATAGTGAAAAATAAGGCCATTCGTCATTTGAGAACAATGCAGAATTTGATTTATATCATTTTCACTGTTATTGTTCAGCACTGACAGGAAAAGGAAGCCAACAATAAGCGAATGGTGCTATTAGGTTATTCCTACCTTAGAGGATTCCATTGGTGGACATCTCCAGTTATATAGATAATACTGCAGATTACCATCGCCGACACCAAATTTTAACTGCTCTAGGAATGACTTGTTATCCATTAGATCTAGCGCATTGAATACATCAAAATCTTTCTGCAAAGAAAGCATAGTGTGTCAGAGATTTAACCTTTTTATCACCCAAATTTTTCTGCACTTTTTTCTTTCTTATATTCGTCTGGAAATGAACCCTTATTTTGGAGCCCACAGACAAAATTTGAGTAAATTTTTAGGTTTTAGTCAAAAAATTTGGCTACTTTTGTCCCAATCCTCTGAAGGAAAGTGCAGATTATAAAATGGAACTATATTGTGAATTCGTGATGAAAAAAGGGAACTGGTGGTGAAAAGCTTAAATAAAGTACAGCAGTCACTGTCTTCAGGGTTCACATTATTTTTCTGCACTTAGTGATATCTCAATCATTTACAGAATACCATATAGAATTCCCATGATTAAAAGGCCTTGAGCTGAAATCACATTTTGCACTAAGGAGAGAAGATGCCATTAAATAAAAAGGCAACATCATACAAACCCCTTGTTAGGTCAATTTTTCAATTTATTTTAAATAAGAATTCATATCAATCAAATATTACCATCCTCCAGTATCAATTATTTACCGATAGGAATTATGATAAGATTTAATTTTAGGCGTTTCTTAAAAAAGTGAAAGTAACAACAATTTTTGTGAGTGTGTCATAGTGGCATGAACAGATAATAATGAATGTACGAAGGAAATGTCAATCTTCATTCCATACGACCCCTTATTAATTTACTGCATTGCAATTTACTGGCTTTCTTGCATTGATTTATTCATCTTGATCATGCAAATTGACAATAATTATTTTTACTATTTTTGTCATGAAAACGTATCATATTCCTGAATGCCTTGTGTGTCTGCATTCAATATTACACTTGTAGTTGTTAAAGACTTCATTGCATACGAGTAGTGTAGAATGGTACCAACCTGTTTAGCAAGAATCAGCGCATCTTGCATAAGGTCTATTAACGGCGTCTTCGTACTAACATTGTAAAATGAATAACCTGCTTTCAATTTCTTATGCTGAGTATGATGCATTATGGTCGAAGGTAATGTGTAAAAGCTAAAGAAATCTGTGATGACGCCTTCACTCTGAAGATAAAAACAGATTCATAATGTTACTTCATTACCATTCCTTGTTTTTAAGATACACAATGCAAAAAGACAAGACGCTGTAAAACTCGCCTACTTGTAAATGAAAGACTGGTACTTACTTCTACAACATATGCATCTACTATATCATCTCTAGGACAAAACCAATGTTCAAATTCATCCTGTACAGACAAAAATCAATAGTTCTATTGTCACCACTGGGCCACGTCAGCTTATGTGAATATCAGGAGGATATTGTGTGAATACCAGGTAAGATCATGTGAATACCAGATCATCGAGTCAGGTCGTGGGTATGTGTAGATACAAGATCAGGTCATGTGGATATCACGTGGATGCCAAGCAATGTCATATGCATTTCGTGTGAATACCAGATTAGGTGATGTACATGCCATGTGGATATATAACGAGTCGTCTCATTTTGATATGTGGATACCAGATCATGTCATGTGGATATTATATGGATATCAAGGCATGTCATGTGGATACCAGGTCATGTCATGTACATTTTATGGAATACCAGGTCATGTCATGTGAATACCAGGTCATGTCATGTGGATACGAAGTCAGGTCATTTGGATATTATGTGGATACGAAGTCAGGTCATTTGGATATTATGTGGATACCAGATCAGGTCATGTGCATGTCATGTGGATTCAAGGTCAGGTCATGTGCATGTCATGTGTATTCAAGGTCAGGTCATATGTATGTTATGTGGATAGCAGGTCAGGTCATGTGGATGTCATGTGGATTCAAGGTCAGGTCATGTGGATGTCATGTGGGTGGCAGGTCATGTGGATGTCATGTGGGTGGCAGGTCATGTTCTATGCCTGACATGTGGGTACCAAGTCCAGTCATTTGCATGTCATATAGATAACTGGTCAGATTATGTGAATATCTAGTGACTATCTCACACGGGCAGATCATCAGGCTATATGGATTATTCAATTTACACGACTTTAGATTATGAGCCAATGGTAGAAGTAAGCACATAGATATACACATATCACACATATACACGACTCACCTCACTAAACAACGGCGATAATGAAAAATTATTCTGATAATCATTTAAAAGTTTACAACATTGGGCAACATCCTTCTTCTGTAGTTGTCGTATAGGTAATTTGGTTTTCTGAAAAAAAGTTGAAAAAAAGTCTATGATCATTGAAAAAATCAAATTATTTAGTCGTATTGCTGAATTTTCCAAGGAAGAGATATAAATCTTGAGACAGACATAACCATCTAGTGGTAATATACTATAAGTATTACTTTGTACATGTAAATATGAACAGCAAAAATCAGCAACTACAAACATCATCTACCAAGGCCTGCCCTACTACTAAAATAATGTTTTTAGGCGATTTTTCAAATAACATTACTGATTAAACAATTCTTGATATACCTGTTTTAATTAATTAGAAAACACCATCAACATGGTGACTGAAATTGGAATCAACTTACAAGAATATATACACGATGTTCTTACCTCAGGAAGTTTATAAAGTTTGATTGTCCGCTGCATGGTCATGTTCTTGCTTAGGTGGGAGAACTTCACTTCTATTAACTTACGTGGATTTAGAGAACGATGCCAATACCTACAAGTAAAACATTCAACGACGATGAAAGTTGATTAATTTTGGATTACCAAAACAATGGTTACCAAAATAACTCAATATGTATGGTCTGTGTAGTTATAAGCATCTTGGTTGGAAAACACTGCAAAAACACTATTACATATTTCTATAATGAAAACAAGTCTTTGAAGAGTAAAAAATGTGTTTGGTTTAGACAGGTTTCCAGTTTGCAGTATTGAAATGTATACCATACTTACTTGCACGTAGCTACTGGTTTGGGTAATACCACACCTGCAGTGTAAACAGCCTGAAATATATTCTGCATATTGACTCTTCTGGTAATTTCTCTAATTAGCACTGGAGCTACTCGTTTGGATCGAAGTTTCTTATGAACACAGAGAAAATTAATTTCGACCATTGTCTGCACACTAGGGAGAGAAAAAAAATAATAATACCTAGACCACAAGATCGATAAACTGGAGTCAATGGTGTAAACCATTATATCTTGGAGTGGTTCAGTGTTTTGGGATGTTGTTAATATAACTACTGTAAAACCATTAATTTTCATGATTTTGATTTTTTGAGCAATTTCACTGGGTTTTAAGTTCACATACTTGGAAAGAAAACAATGGGTTCTTCTGTTATTTTACATGTTCATGTGTATTTAATTTAGCAAATTTTACACAAAAATAGCAAAATTAAAAAGCAGTAAATAATTAATTTTTTTACAGTACATGCTTTGTTATCAAGGTTATTACTTACTGGTCATATACTTTGATCTTAGCAGGTATAGCACTAATAAATCCAACTAGCTTCTTGTTTGACACAACACGTACACCACAATGCCAGAATGGTAAAGAACCAGGTGGTAACAGTGCCCTGTAGAAAATGAGACACTTTGTTATCATCAGTTAGGACAATGGATCAGTGCTACCGGTATTCAGTGGTTGTGGTAGACAAGTCTGAACTCATTTATACAAGAGCTAAAAAAAAGTTTCTGTTCAGCGTGTACACCGCTAAAGAAGGTGTGGGTTGATCTGTTTTCCCTTCATTTCAACACTGTACAGTGCAGAACAGCACAGCACAGCACAGCACAGCACTGGACTGGACTGTAAATGTAAATGTAAGATAACAAGACTCAATACATAGGGTTTTCTCAACTCCAAATTCAGCTTGCTAGATGTCAACACTTGTGAGGGACCCCCTCATTTTTAATATAGTAAGGGTCCCAAATATGCTCATCAATTTAGTTTTAAGTTTTCTCATAACCCTGCTAAGTAACCAATCAAGTGGTTTGAGTTCATACAATAAACTCAGAGAAAGATTAGACACCTACCATGTGAGAAATTCAGGCGAGTAATCAAATCTAAACATATTATCATCATCTTCTACATAGTTTTCATTCAGCAATGTGTACAATTCATTCAGCTGTGAGCAGAGAAAAAAGAAATGAAAGCCATCACATAAAAATACATATGACCATTAAACATCATTGTTTCAGTTCACACACATACATTAGTATTAATTATTGATACCCCACATCAAATCCTGTGGTCCACTTACATTGACAGGATTCTTGATATCTACAATATCCCACATAAATCCCTGTGGTAGACTGTAAGGTTCCTGTCTTACATCATCCCTATTGGGTTCCACAGCCTCATTTATAGCCTTGTCAATTTTCTCATCTGGTGAATACAAATACAATATCAGGCTTGTAGCATGCCACAGATTTGCATTTATCAACAAAGATTTATACTTTTTTGAGGAAATGCAATTCTAAATAAAGAATTAATGATACAATATTTCCAAGATGCTTGTTTTGCTCAGTCCTGGGAATAGGAAAATCGACTAGCACAGAACCAGTACTCTGATAGAGTTTCCAGCACAAGACCAGTACAGGGATAGAAGCCTATAGCACAGGACCAGTATGGTGCTACCCCGGTAGTATGAGACAATATAGCAATTTGAAACTTGCCTATTTTTGGCACAGGTTGGGTGTCCCAAAATTCATAATTTTTTCTTTTAGCCTCCTCTTCTGTTTTCGGTGCTGCCTTTTGTTGAATTCCTAAGAGTTCGATAGCACGCTGGATCTCCTGTAGTTTTGCAACTGATTGGGCAGACTGATTCTGACAAGAAACCAAGAAATTTTATTATTATGAGTTTGGCAACTATTCCAGTACATGTATTTTCCACAGTCAGATTTTGAGGTTGCAAAAATGTAAAAATCATTGGACCCCCAAAAAAGAAACATGCTGAAATGGAAAAAGCACAAAGACAGAGAGCAAAACATACTGGTGCCCTGGCATCTTTATCATCTTCTGTACTGAGAGCCTTCTTTTTCTTTTTCTTTTTGCTTTTTTTCTTTGCTCCTCCCTGTTCACTGTGAAATGATACGCATGATAAGTCAATAATGTTTTATGTACATGTAAGTTCCTGGTTCATGTTTTAAACAGTATTCTGACGGGACTTAAAGGCCCAATTCACTTGCCCTGGGCAAGTGTGAATTGGAGGTGTGGCTATTCTAATGCATGGTGTTAATCACTTGCATAGCCTATGACGCATCCTGTTTCAGCGGTCCAACATCACGTGACTTTGATTGACAGTGGTGATTATTCAAGATTAGTCGCGCATCCCTTTCCCCGGTTCATGTTTTTTACTTTTATCCGCCAAAATCTCAGCTCATACACTATTTATTGTCATAAATACTACACACAGTCACTGCTGTGATATTCATAGTCACATGCATCCACTTTGGCACGACATAATAGACATGTAAGTTCGAGAAAACATGTTTTTACCGGAGCTTGGCTGGAGCTGTTTACTACAGCGTGACAAGCAAGGAAATAATCCCTATTGTTTAGGAGCGTATTTATAGTATACCTGGGCCTTTAAAGTAATTACCCCACATAGTTCATCAAGTTAAGTAAGTCAAGGCATGAAAAACTTCTCAAGACATACACCTATAATGGTGTGATATCAAATGTAACAAGTGATTGTAGAGAACAGTTGGACAATCAGAATTTAGATATCATTTCTACCAAAGATCTATGTATCAAGTTTCATTGCAGACTGTTGGATAGTTCTTGAGAACAAAAAAGTGGGAAGGCTTAAAACTGGCTGAATAATATGAAAATTAATGCACTGACTTTAACCAAAAACTAATCAGGTCTGCACATTATCTCAGAGCTAAATAATATGCAAAGGTAGACTGCCGACAGTCGGTCATACCTAATATTAATTTATTAATAGTTAATAGTTATTATTAATAAATATTTTGTATACGGTAAGCGTAATAGGCGTGAATAAATTGCGAACGTCGGGACAGGAAGTATGGAGTGGCGTTACCGTTATAATCCTAATATAAACCGCATATGTAATAGTAACCGCACCCCCAATTCCGGCACTTTGGGGTTAAAGAATTATTAACAAAAATTGAAAACATGTACCTATTACTAACCCCCCCCCCCCCCAATTCATCAAGACCGTGACTGACTTCATTGTTTCAACCAGCTGTTCCAAAACGGCATTGTTCCTAATCCTATTCATTTGTTCCAACAAAGTGCCTAAAATATTCACACCTATTTATTGTTCAGCGGTGATAAGATGTCAGACAGGCAATGAAACTGCTTTTGTTCTGGCAGCAACCTCCACATGAATACGTCCGCGATTCGGAAGTTCTCGGCAATGAACTGTTATCATCGTAAAAGTGTTAAATTCTTCGTCAATCCTCAGTTTATCTTTTGAAAACAACTAATTTCTTGATTTAAAAAACACACAATTTGTTTCCCATGGAAATCAAAGCCAAACGATCGCACTACATCATCGGTAAATCTCTTCTGTGTTGCGTTCACCATGAGGTCGCTGAACTGTCATATTTAAATGAGCTATGGTAATTAGAAGACGTTGGCCTATCCGGTCAGAAAAACAGTCTTGTGTTAATTCAAAAAACATGGCAGATATCGTATCGCATCAAACGTTTACATGTGACTGAACTCACTTACTAACCATGAAACTAAGTTGAATTTTACTTGCATTTCATAACAATTTTAATGAATTCATTTTTCGTGCGTTATTATAATCACTACTGAGTAATGATCAACAATTTCAACACTTTGAAAACAAGTAAGTTATTCACTTGTAAACCGCAGCATTGCCGGATTGCGCCACCGTACCATGATCTACTAAGCAATGCATTTGTGCTTGTTTTTATTTGAAACTTCTGTTAGAATATACTTGAATATACTGAGTAATTTTTTTTATCATGTGAAGATTTTTTATTGACTGTGATTTTTCAACATTTTGTGACGCCTATTTTAGAACCAAAGTGAGGCCTTTCACTCTTCCCTGACGCCTGTTCAAGAGATTGCAGGGTGTATTGTTTTGTGAATGTGGTGTGGGGAAAAAATGATCACGCCCATTTAGTGATTGCAATATGTACGTAATAGAAACCGCACCCCGAACTTGAGCTTTTGATCGCAATTTTTAGATTGATACATTGTAATATAAACCACGTAGTTTGATTTTGACTGTGCTTCACGCGATTGCGACACTTTCCACAGTCGTTTTTGATATCATGTCACTAACAACTTAAATCTTGACGTGAACAACCAACGCATTCATGGGGTCATTTAGAATAAATTTGCATGCATTATGTTAATATAATTTATTTCGTGACGTCTGCATCAACTATGAATTATTCATATCATCTAGAAACCTGCAGACGGGCACAGTCTCTCGGGACTAAAGTCCCTCGCATGAAATGGTTCACATGTCTAGGAAATGCAATTTACATAAGGCCAGAGGACTGTCGACAGTCTAATGCAAAGGCTGCAAACAAAAATTAATCAGGTCTGTGCATTATCCCAGACTACCCATGTAACAAGTTTCATTGAAATCTCATATAAATTGGTTCTTGAGATATCAGTGGAACCATACTTTTCTGGTCCTCGAGTACAAGCCCAACCTTTTACATGTTCAGGCCCCTGGGCTTATGAATGGGGAAGTATGGTATTTCAAAATTCTCAAGGTGTCTGAAAATGATTCTGAGGTGTATTGATAAACCCAAGTGCATTATTTGGTTCGAACTGGTGTCATATGTTAACAGGCTAACTATTTCAGAGATTATTTTTCAACGTGTGATAGTTTAGGTGATGCGACTGAAACTGAATCTTGGAATTCAGCATGTTACTTTTGGAAACACAGTAATTGGATACAAAGATGAAAAACAGCTTCTTAGCAAATGATGATGCATAATTTATTTGTTTTCAGAAAAAGTAATATTTTATCACAGAGCGTAGATACAGATGGAACAAACGCATTTTTAAAAAGCATGAAGCTTGGCGATTCTAAAAATATATACTTTGCGGGGTCTTTTTGTAGCCATTTCGTCACAATCGAAAAATTAAAATAAGTACCGGTATATGCAAATAATACTCTCGCTATTCGTTTTGCATTCATACTCATTGTATGCATTTGATTTGTTTCAATGTAATTGGGCTTAACGTGGAGCTTTTTACTATTACCCATTTTTCAATTATAATCACTATTAATTGGCATTAAGAAATTAGAGCATTGGAATGCATACACATCGCATTTAACAGATAAGGTGTACTTCAACATAAAATCAGATACATGCATTGTAATGGCTTGAGTCCGAGATGTCATGATCACGATCAAGAATTCATATGCACGTGTGTTGTATCAATGTATGCACGCCAGAACAAGACCGACCCGGAAAAAACACACACTTTAGCACTCACGTAGCCTCCGGTGCACCCTCGTCTTCATTGTCACCATCGATAGCGCTGTAATCTTGGTCTACCTCTACTACCTTTCCATCGCCAGCGTTTTCGTCGGCGTCCGCCATGTTGGAAAGATTGCCGCACAGCCTCTTCCGGGGCTGGGTGTTACAGTGCGCATATTATCGATACCATTAATTAGACTTTATGAGAAATTAATCAAATTAGAATTAAATATTTAAAAGGTAATTAATTTATTTTCTGTAATAGCTGTATTCGAATATGAATTCTTATAAAACCAGAAATACTACACCAGAACGAGGCTGAGTGGGATTGTGGGAGAGCTGAACGACATTCACATCGAATCAGCAATAAATACTGAATAGAAGAAAAAATCTTAAGAAATAAAGCAATGTGGAAAAGACGATAACAATATTTAGGAAGTCACCCTTGTTCCGAATTGAGGGCGGATTATTTAACATTCTCTCGGGATTGTATGGCTTTTTTTCTCATACTGCGATGCAGTGATTGTTCAATTTGAATATAGGACGCCCATTGTGGCTAGATGTTGTTCATCAGGAAATATAACGATTCAAAAACGTTTGACCGAGCATAACTCGGCAGGGGGGGGGGGTACATTCATACTGGGCTCCTGTACGGCAACCGAAGTGGCTCACAACATGGCATTTTATAAAACCATTTTTACAATTCATTTTTATTTCATAATTCATTTTTAATAACCATTTTCGGTTCTGAAATCGATTTTTGTTTCTGGTATCTGTTTTCATTTAAAAAAATGTTTAAATCCATTTTCGTTTTTTAAATCCATTTTTAAAATCTGTTTTTATTTTCAAATTTCATTGTCGTTTTTAAAATCCATTTTCGTTTTTAAAATCCGTTTTCATTTTCAAAATCCATTTTTGATTTCAAAATCCATTTTTGTTTTTTAAATCCATTTTCGTTTTCAAAATCCATTTTCATTTTTAAAATCAGTTTTTATTTTCAAAATCCATTTTTGATTTCAAAATCCATTTTCTTTTTTTAAATCCATTTTCATTTTTAAATCCACTTTCATTTTTAAAATCTGTTTTTTTTTTAATCCGTTTTTGTTTTTACTAATCCGTTTTTATTTTAAATCTATTTTCACGTTTTTGTTGACATTTGAAGTATAGGTATATACGTATTTTTCACGTTGAAGCACATTTCCCATCATAATTTACATAAAAATCACTGTTGTTTCCCCGCCTATCGCATTACTTTAATCGTTTTTACGGTAATTGTTTATACAAAGATAGTTTTTTTTTATTTTAACCAGTGATGTTTCCATGGTAAGACTTCTTTATGTAAGTTCTTCTTCAGGCTATAACTATAGCCGTGGTTCCGCGACGATTTTGGTCCATCAAGGGTTCTTGACTAATTCGGTCGGCTTACACTTTTGCGTCAAATGCATTTGTGGTCAGGCTTGTCCACCGACGACGTTGCCTTGTTTACTGACAATACCCTACCCGGTACCAAAACGCAGCAACACCACGGCTATAACTTATTCTAATCAACCTTGGAGCTCTCATTTTATCAGCTGTAATGTTGATACTCAGGTTAGAACAAGTTATAGCTGTGGGTTAGCCCTGCGTACAGTGACCATTTGATCGTGTGGTGGGGGTGACTGGAATATTTAATACAACACAAGCTAGACGCTGAGAGATAAAAACACATCCGTGCATGGGCGGATACAGGATTTTTTATGGGGGGGGGGGGGTCCAAACTTTAAAATCGCCAGACTACAAAAACAAATTGAATACATTTTTCAACGGGGGAGGGATCCGGACCCCAAGAACCCCCCTAGACCCGCCACTACCGTGGTATTGCAGGGAAAAAACTGTTGTCACATTCAAGAAAAGTAAAAAGTGTAAAGATAATACATCACACTGGTCACACTCTTACAGCCACCCCCGTGATTTAAAATGGTTGAACCTTAATTTATGTGAAATACTTTGGTTATTTGTCTTTTGTAATAATTTTTTTACCTTACTAAACCCACAGATGGTTAAGTTGTGTATTATTATTATTATCATCTTAAATTACACTTACAAAATTGTTTGAAAGTGTCTAAAAACGCAAGCTAAAAACGCAAAGGCTCATGGGTAGACGCTTGTTTGTAAAAAATGACACGCTATGGCCATCTGACGCATGCGCAGGTGACGACTCCCCCGCTTTAAGAAATTCTATTATATATTGAATTTTTTTATTGTCAAAATGTTCTTGAAATGTAGTCATAACATCCTCTAATCCTCGGGGGCGGAGCTACGTCGCAGACGTTCTACGTTGCTAAGACGCGCACCACTGTACATGCATTTCTATGGGCTCTGTGCGCGCTGCTGTGGAACGCCGGTCGAACCGGTGAAAATTCGAGAAAACAACACAAACTCAACTTTGAAGTAATCCCGAACAACCAAATTTATATATTTTACACACGTAGGGCTAATCTTGTTACACTGTTCAGAGGAGTCCCAACAATCATCCCAAAGTACCGTTTTCTGCGAGTTTTGGGCCTTTGTTTTCACCGCCGCGGGTTGCCAGGCGGTGCAAATGCCCGGATGTCCGCCCCGAGGATACAGAAAATATAATGATACACATACAGTTTTTGTTTTCATTAAATAATATGATTATTTTGCACACATTTTGTGTTGAATGCCTTCCCACCAGCACAAGAGCGACCTCTAGAGGCAATAGACTGTTGAACTGGGACAGGAAGTCAAACAACCGTGCGCTTGCGCAATAGACTTGACGACCGAAATACGGCAACAAGCAGGTTTTGTGGCTGCTAAGTTGTTTGTTGGTGACTTCCCTAAATTGCTGTGCTTTTTAGCAAGGTTTCCTGTGAAATCTTCAAAAATGTCCGGACTGAAGAAAAAACCTGAGAAGCAATTGACTGATCTTTTATGCAAAGAAACGCACTGTAAGTAACTAAATCCTGGCATTGCAAAATCATGGAGGTCAAATTATGACATTCAATTTCATCGCCATTCATTTCTTGGAGGTGAATGTTGTTATTAAACGGTATTTTAGGAGATCGATACACTGACTGAACTAAAGCACACCTGTGACCTACCAGAACTATTAAACAAGATAACAATCATGCTTTTTGGGGCCTGATTCAGCACATAGGAGACCGAATTACTTATAAACCCTTTAAATTTACGCCCCACGGTATATTGGGGTAATGGTCGCAATTTTATGCTGTTTTAGTTGCATAATGGGATTAGCTCAGGTTCATGGCTTCACCCTTAGAGATTTAATTCTTCAGATAAATTATAAAATGATGCTGTGGCAATATTCTGGTGTAATTACACATTTGGAAAGTAAATATTCACTTAAACTTAAATCACAGGGTCGTCCCACAGTATGTTTTTGTGTGAATTTTGTGTATACAAAAAAATAATGTATTTTACTTGTACCATGGATGTACTAAGAAGTACATCCATGCTTGTACTTTATGAAGGCCAGTTTACAAGTTCAGGTTTATCAAATTATCTGACAAAATTGCATCATGTGATTGGATTATTCAGATGAAATTGAACATGTTCGATTTTCAAAAAATCTGATCAGACGTCAGATTATGCAGTTTACATAATCAGATTGTGTTTGATAACTTTGATCAGATGTTAGAGTTCAAGTACATCACATTTTTTAAATATATTGTAACAAATTGGTTCTTGTAAACATACTATAAGTCATGTATGGGATCCATGTTGCACACAGTCATGATCAGACATTTTGTGAGTTTACAATTATGCGTATCGTCTGAATGCTATATGATTTATTGAACTTTGTAAACAGGTCTGAGAAGAAGGTGCTACAATTATCTAACATTAGGCTTGAGTAAAATTGGAATTGTAAATTTATGATTCAATGAGTTTGATTTAATAGTGTAATAATGACAAGTACAGTTTAATTCCAAATTTTGGCTGGTATTTTATTTTGCTTATACATATATTGAAGTACTAGGTATTATTTTTTTGGGAACTTTCATACAATTCATATTTTATTCTATAATATATAGTACGTGTATGATGTACCGGTAGTATTATTCGAGAAACATGTTGGCTAGTAGTTTCTTGTTGAATTTGCTTAGATATGCTGCCATACTATTATTTTTTGGCAACTTTTATACAATTTATGGTATATTATTCTATAAAGGACATTCAATGAGATTTCAATTTTTTCATGTTATTATCATGACTTCAATGTTCTTGTCCATCTACATTTGTATTTCATTGTACATGTATTCATTTTTCCCCGCATTAATTTTTGTCAGTATTTTCTACATGCAAAATGTTTTGATATATTATTGCATTGTTTAAGGACTTTATCCATGCAAAGAAAATATCATGCATCCATCTAAACACTATTGAATCTTGATTTTCAATGGACAAGCTTGTAATAGTTATGCTAAGTTTCTTGTCAGTTATTTATGTGTTGTAACCTTCACCTTGTTACAAATTCACTGTTTTAGTAACACATTTAGCTAAAGATATCAGATGTATAATGGATTTATATGTGGCGAATCTTAGCACTATGGTATGTGTTAATATGGTGTCTTCACAGAAAGTTGCGTATACCCCAGTAACACTAAATTATCATTTAAATGTACTTCTTTTACAGTCAGAAGAGAAGAAATCGAAAAACTTATACAGATATTCAAGAAGCTGCTTATTGACACAAATAAGAATGATACACTCAAGCAGGAATCTCTCAAGTTGGACCGTACAATATTTCGGGATATACTGCACAACACATTTCATATGACAGATGATATGCTTATGGATAGGGGTAAGGCATATTTGATTTTATGTATATAAGTACGAGTGTACACATATTGCAGATAGTCTTTGTAAATGTATATTTTTTGATTGTTAAAAATCCAATTCGGATACAAACATGGGAAGATTCTGATATTTCCAACAAATAAGTATTGATCCAGCATCCCAAGTAACTGGTGAACTTGATTGATCCGTTAAATATTCTGATAAGAACTTGAGGAATTTTACCAAAACAGAAAGAATTTCAGACTGTTATGAGATGCAACATCTGAAATATATTGATCTTTGCATGTAAACATAAAACAACACGATGAAACTATGATTAAGGTTGTTAACAATTGGGGATTTTGATAAAGGCATAAAAATGCGTGATCATTAATACAGTGCATTCTTTTTGCAGTGTTCCGGGCATTTGATAAGGACAGTGACAGTTATATCTGTTTACAGGAGTGGGTCAAAGGACTTTCTGTTTTTCTCCAAGGAACAGTTGATGAAAAAACACAATGTGAGTCTTCTAAAAATCTATATAAGATTGAAAATGACGATCAGACTTTGAAATGCTTTCAAATATGACATTAACTATTGGTAATAGACATCATCTTCATATTCAAATAAATAGCATGATTAATTTTACTTTCAAATCGTAGATTGCTTTGACGTGTATGATTTAAATAGTGATGGCTATATTTCCAGAGAAGAAATGTTTCATATGCTCAAAAATAGTATGGTGAAACAGCCAACAGAAGAGGATCCTGATGAAGGCATCAAAGATTTAGTAGAACTTACCCTGAAAAAGATGGTAAGTTTAGGTTATCAGTCTAAAACAAATTTACATAAAAAGATGTATTTGGTGACATTGGGGTTACGGTATGTGGTACTCGTATCAAGAACATGCCTTTCCATCTTTAGCATCGTGAACTTGACAACAAATGATAATGCTGTTGTTTTTCTGGTAATTTACAATCTATTATCTTGATTGCGGAAATGTTACAAAGGAGTTAACAGCAAAATGGAAATGAAATGTCTTGTACTGTAAAGTGACTAATTTTCACTGGGTTTAAATTTCGCTGATTTACCATTTCAGGCATATTCAGTGGGTTTTAAATTCACGGTTTTATCATTTAGATAATGTGTTCCATGCTAAATTTTACATATTCACTAGGTTTTAATTTAGCGCATTTTCCAGTAAGCGAAATAAGCAAAATTAAAACCCAGTGAATAATTAACGACAGTATTCTGAATTGACAAATATGAATGAATAATTAACAATGAAGTTTAAAAGGCTTGACAGTTCTGTGACTGATAACGCAATATAGTCAAGTTTAACTGTATTTATTTTGTTTTAGGATCATGATCATGATGGCAGACTTTCATATAAGGATTTCAAAAGTTCTGTAGTCATCGAACCGCTTTTATTAGAAGCTTTTGGTCAATGCCTGCCAGATAACAAGGTATCATTCACCCTATAGTAACTATGGTTGTCAAAATCATGTATTTCAATAGCGTGACCACTTGTGTATTTTTTAGCTCCTACCTGAAGGCTAATGGACTGGGTTCCATAGAATTTTCTCCATAAATTCACTGATGGACTGTTTTTTTTTTTCAAATTTGATACATAGTTTATAGCATGAGGTTATCAACTGATGTCACTTAGTTTGTAGAGCTGATTGATACGAGTAACGAAATGGGCTAGTATTATCTATGAACTGAAGGATGTTGCCAGTATCAACCAGGTCAACGAATAAATAATACCGATATAACTTTTTTAATAACATGACCAACTCCAAGTATCAAAACGACAATTATTTTATCGTACTGTGTTATGAATCATATGCAAATTAGGCATGATGTTTTAAGCACTTACTGCTGCTTATAGTTTTGGAATCAGCAGAAATATTATCCTTCCATTGTTTTCTCTGAAATTCTCATATCACAGCAATAAAAACTGTACCGTCACACGGTTTGCTTTTCTTCGCATACTATTTGAGCACACATAGACTACCGGTAGTATTTATTGGTAATCTGCTCAGCTAGGATTTCCTTTAAAATTACTTTTGTGTGTGTGTGTTTGTGTGATTTCCAGTGTCTTCACATAATAATTATATTCTCCTGTGATTATTTTGGCCAAGCCGATTTTGCTCAAACTTGGCTGACAGGTTACACCTTCACTTTAGTTAGGTGGTAAAATCTGAAAAAAATTCTGGCTCATAGTTGCCACAGCAACAGCCAAAAAACTGATTTTTGAGTAGCTTTGTGCCAAATGTATCTCCTCCTATAAATTTAGGATTAACAACCTTGGACATAGTGATTCTACTAAGTTTGAGTGTGGGCACAAAGTTACAATGTGTTTTTTTGATATAATTTTTTCATTACCGAGAAATGGCTTTTTAACTCTTCTGTGATTTTTTGGGGTTGGGCAAATTCTTGTTAGGCAGTTCATACCTTCACTAGCCCACCATTGCCATGACAACAGGCTTACAGCCAAATATTTAGAATACTTTTGCCACAAATGTCTTGCATATGAATGCCACGTTCAGTGTGAAATGAGTAATACAAAAAATGTATTGATTACTGATTTTGTATTTTTTGTTTGCAGAGCAAAGATGCTTTTGTTAAAACATTCTCAGACTGTGATGGTCAACAAGCAGATACCAGTAAGAAAGGGAAGAAGTAGGAGGTGCCTTGAAAGAAACTCACATCCACAAGAAAGAAAAAGCACCTTGAATTGCAGATGCTACTTATACTTGTCAGACTTTACTGTGAATTGTTGGGTGAAGGCTTCCAGAAATTCAACTACCACACTGAAACAATACACAGCAATGAAATTGAAAGAAACATGTCTGCCAACATGGTCATTATAAATGTACTATAATTCAGAAAACTTCACAACATGTAAATACTATCCTTCCCAATCGTTGTCTCTGTCCAGTATTTGAGCTGTAATTTGTTTATATGTAAAATAATACAACTTATTTGGGTTGGCATAAACTTGTTGACCACTGAAGGGTTGACCATTATGTGAATTAATAGCAGGCTAATGATTCTGGTCATAGTATGTCCAAAGCTGACCAGATGGTGTTGGTTTTTATTATTTTGTTCATGGCTTTCAAAAAAAACAACAAAAACTACACCTTTGAAGTACAATATTTATTCATATAATTTTAGTTCAAACTTCTCGTTGTGTGGACCACAAACATTTCTTTTGCTTCTTATGGCTTGCATCTACGTAATATTATTGAAAACATTTTACATTTTTTCATGCCATTTGTTTGACTTAATATTCTTGTTGTATCGATGTAAATGTTTTAATAAAGATGTTTAACAAAATATTTGTCTTCTTTCCGTGTATACCGGTACCTAAAATAAGCAGAGACCATCTTCTCTCAGGTCTATGGTATGATATTGTGTTATTTCAATTAAACACAGCTAAAGGACAGTACAGCACATTAATATATCATTTGTTGTTCACTTTACCTACTTGTATTAAAAAATATTCAAAGTTGAGTGGAACCAAATCTATGTTATTGGTATAACATAGTGTTTTTTTTCACCAAAACTGGCAATAAAACTAATTTGCTAGGAGCCTATTCATAATTTTTTACAAAATTGGTCATGAATCGTATTATTTTACAGTTAAGGTTTTTGAGAAACGTATCCTAATATTTCTTGAAAATTTCTATTTTTAGAACAATCCCATAAAACGCAATGTTAAAGAAAAATTGCATATTTTGACACTTTTTAAAACGCAGATTTTTTAAATAATTCTGAACAACAAAAAGTATTTTTCCAGGCTAGATTTTGAGATATTGTATAATATCTCTGCCATAGGAACCTATGGTAAAAGTTTTATAATAGTGTCAAAATGGTGACTTTCCACTAAAGTACAACCAACTTTTTTTAGGTCATTATCCTTGTATTGCCTTGGAGTACAGTTTATCGCAAAATGAATAAATTCTGGGTATTTTATGAGTAGGCTTCTACCTTAATTTGAACTATAGGCTAAATCTGAATGAATGAAATGGCTATCCACAAAGAACAGAGGTTACTTTTATAGTCCTTTGTTTATTGCAAGTGGCTATGAGAACCAGTACTAGAGAATTTGCATGGTATTATGGGTACAACATTAAGGAATGTTTAGAGTGTGTGAATTCGTTTGCAAGGCTGTTATTTTGGTTGTCTGTAATCTTCTACCATGTTGTCACAGGATCACTCTTGTATGCTTGATAATCTTCTAATTTGAAATATGATAGTTCAGTTTCATGTCCTTAAGAAGAAATAAACAAAACACATAAGATTTGCAGAATGGAATATGAATTAGCAAAATATGCATAAATAAGGAATACATTGTCATCAATGCAAATATGCTATAAAGGGACTTCACATATCAAAATTACTATTCATTATGACCTTTTATACGTATAGCGCCCTCGAGCATTTCCTTTTTAAAAATGTAGGTATAGAAACTCCACTGACTGACAATTCACAGCAACACATCTTTGAAAGTGAATTTTGATTTTATTTTACTCATTGCTGAGCTGAATAATGAAGTCTGTACTATGTTTATGAAGTTTTCATGATAGATTTGTGTATTCTTATTCTGAAAAACAGTCTGCCATATACTAGTAGATAGTATCTAATTTTCGAAAATATTTTCTTTCACTTTACTTATATATGTATTAGATAGTGGCTCCCAGCATAACTTTGGGCAACTCTAATTATCAGGAAATAATTGATTGATAAGAAAGTGGCTTTGTTATCATGCAGCATATAGTCCATTACAGTATATGCAATTGTGGTCTGATGCCTATACTCACCAACACCACTATTTGCTATGATGACATCTTCTTTCAATATCAATTTCTCATCATCTTCAAAGTTAATGACTGAATTGTTAGACTGTAATAAACAAAATTTACATATTTCTTGTGATGTATGGTAGAGAATACAACTGTTCCTCTGGCTACGAGTAACCCTCTTTTTTTTTTAATCTACAATCAGTTTGTGACTTTTATTGGCTGATACATATAGCGTGCTTTATGAACACTGAATGACCATGACGTTGATTGGCCGATAAATATAGCATGCTGCTAATCTTAATATGCTAATTTTACAAACAATGAATGACCATGAAGTTGATTGGCTGATAAATATAGCAAGCTGCTAATCTTAATATGCTAATTTTACAAACAATGAATGATCATGACGTTGATTGGCTGATAAATACAGCATGCTGCTAATCTGATTATGCTAATTTTACAAACACTGAATGACCATGATGTTGATTGGCTGATAAATACAGCATGCTGCTAATTTGAATATGCTAATTTTACAAACAATGAATGACCATGATGTTGATTGGCTGATAAATACAGCATGCTGCTAGTTTGAATATGCTAATTTTACAAACAATGAATGACCATGACGCTGATTGGCTGATAAATACAGCAAGCTGCTAATCTGATTATGCTAATTTTACAAACAATGAATGATCATGACGTTGATTGGCTGATTAATATAGCATGCTGCTAATCTGATTATGCTAATTTTATAAACAATGAATGATCATGTCGTTGATTGGCTGATTAATACAGCATGCTGCTAATCTGATTATGCTAATTTTACAAACAATGAATGATCATGACGTTGATTGGCTGATAAATATAGCATGCTGCTAATCTAAATATGCTAATTTTACAAACACTGAATGACCATGACGCTGATTGGCTGATAAATATAGCATGCTGCTAATCTGAATATGCTAATTTTACAAACACTGAATGACCATGACGCTGATAAATATAGCATGCTGCTAATCTAAATATGCTAATTTTACAAACACTGAATGACCATGACGTTGATTGGCTGATAAATATAGCATGCTGCTAATCTGAATATGCTAATTTTACAAACACTGAATGACCATGACGCTGATTGGCTGATAAATACAGCATGCTGCTAATCTGATTATGCTAATTTTACAAACACTGAATGACCATGATGCTGATTGGCTGATAAATATAGCATGCTGCTAATCTGAATATGCTAATTTTACAAACACTGAATGACCATGACGCTGATTGGCTGATAAATATAGCATGCTGCTAGTTTGAATATGCTAATTTTACAAACACTGAATGACCATGACATTGATTGGCTGATAAATACAGCATGCTGCTAATCTAAATATGCTAATTTTACAAACACTGAATGATCATGACGTTGATTGGCTGATAAATATAGCATGCTGCTAGTTTGAATATGCTAATTTTACAAACACTGAATGACCATGACGTTGATTGGCTGATAAATACAGCATGCTGCTAATCTAAATATGCTAATTTTTACAAACAATGAATGACCATGACGTTGATTGGCTGATAAATATAGCAAGCTGCTAATCTTAATATGCTAATTTTACAAATAATTAATGACCATGATGTTGATTGACTGATAAATA